ATGCGGAGGGAAGGCTTGTAGGGTCATGTACACGCCCGGAAGTGGATGTCGGGCTGGAAACGTTAGTAAACAGCTGACGTAAGTGGTAGTCCGACTGACGAAATGGGAATGCTGGCAACTCAGTTAGGTGGACTCCGGAATGCGTGGGAGGGGAGGTAAGTGGACCATGACCTGAAACTGAAAGATGATGACGGGAAACACTGCGTAAACCACGAAACCTGCAAACCCGCAGTTAACAGCGCAACTGCTGCGCATGGGAACTGCCCAGAGGTGGTTTAGGAAAGGAGAAGTTTGTGTGCGTAAAGGCATAAAAGTGGCATTGTATATTGGACATAAATTTTAGGCAGCAGGGGATGGGAACTCCCCGTAAACCCTACGGAGTCTGGTCGGTAGGTGTGTTTGAATGTTTCTTTCTGGCCGTGGAGGCCACAGGTCTTCCATCACGGCTACCTTACGTACTATTGTTTGTTCAGTAGGTGTGCTTGTGGTATTTTTTTTGCCGCCGCGGCAAAAAAATACCACAAGCACACCTACTGAACAAACAATAGTACGTAGGGTAGCCGTGATGGAAGACCTGTGGCCGCTTATTTGGCACCGGTCAAAGTAGGTTTGCCACGCATGATCTGCCTCTACGAAATCAGTGCTGGGCAGCGTATAGCAGATTATGTTGTTCTACGAAGCGCATAATTTCTCGCTTAATTATTTTTCCTATAATTTTGCAGCCACTTGAAGCAAGGCTGATTGGTCTGTAGGTGTTTGCTACAACCTTGTTGCCACCTTTATAGTGGCGTGAACCGTGCATATTTCCAATCGGCTGGCAAATAGCCGGCTTCGAACGAAGCTTGGAAAAGCATGGACAGCGGTTTGGATAGTTCTCCAGCAAGCTCCTTCAACAATTTCGGCGGTATGTCATCCGGCCCAGGTGATTTAGACTGATTCAGCGTCAAAAGTTCTTTGTGAACTTCGGCGAAAGAGACGTGCTCAATCGTTGGCCCGTCCACTATGTCACAGTCGGGAGGGAGAAATGGGCTTTCCTTCGTAAAGATGGACTTAAAAAATTGTGAAAGGTACTCTGCGTTTTCTCCGTCTTCACTGAGTTCTAGGTCGTCACTACTTTTCAATAACGGGACTGGGTCTCTGTTTCGTGTGCTTCTTCTTATGCAACCATAGAATAGCTTCGGATTTTCTGCGGCTCGATTCAGTAGGTCTTTCTCGAAAGTACGCCGCGTCCCGAGGATTAACCTCCTCACTAGGTTCCTCTGTGCTTTGTATGCATTTATCGACACATAGTTCCTATCCGAGAAGAATTTTCTCCATAAGCTCCGCTTTTTATTCGCTTCTTTTTTAAAGCTTATGTTAGCCACGGGGGTCTGCTGTTCAGTTTCTTCCGTGAAATAGGACAGTGGTCTCTGTGAAGAACATGCAATGACTCACTAAATCAGTCCCAATCCTTGATTATATCACCGGAAAAAGCTGATTCCCATTTTTTGGTGTTTAGTTCAGCTTTCATTTGAAAAAGTCACCGCGCCAAATGTTCCTTCTAATCCTGGTGGCCTTTTCAGGCAGAGAAGAAATTGAGTACTCCCACAACTGTAAGATGTGGCCGGTTCGACCTAGGGGGGGGGGGGTAGACATTGCACCTCATCAATGCTGTCCAGTGACTTCATAAGGAGCGGATACAGACAGTTTGACGGGCTGAGTGAGAAATAACTTGAGGGTCATGTCCAGCAAACGTCGGTCGAAAGCATGGTCTGGATCAGATGCACAAGCTGAACTCCAGTCGATAAGAGGTGCGTTGAAGTCCCCCATGACTAAGACGTCGGACCGGATAGAGAATCTCTCCAGGTCCTCAATCAGACGAGCGTCCTCCGTGGGATCATTTCTCGGCAGTCAGTAGACCGTCATGACGTCAAGGCTCGGTGAACCCGGTGCTTCTATAGTTAGTCAAATTGCCTCAGAAGTTCACATAACTTTATCTGTTTTGTCTGACACTATAAGTCCGTGCTTTACATATGTTGGTACGCCTCCACCCTGACGTCCTGGCCTGCCTCTTCCAAACAGCTGGTATCCTGGTATAGTTAAATCACGGTTGCCCACCTGCTGCCTCAACCAAGTTTCTGTAAGTTGGATTATATCCGGAGATAGATCAACTAGATGGATCTTTAGCTAGTCGACTTTCGATAACATGCTCTGTAAATTTGTATATAGAGATTTCAGTTTGTGATTTATGACTGTCAGTTAAATAGTTTCTATGCGTCTATGACCTTCGCCTACTATGCCAGCTGCGCGGTCATCTGGATTGGGCCTGTCCAAGGAAAGAATGATGGGCGCTGTCTGATGTGGTTGTTGTAGATAACCAAATTCCGTTCTCCTTCGCGGAGTCTCTTCCTCAGCTCTGGAACTAGAAAACGACGTTTCAGCCTC